ATAATTATAAACGAAAATAATGTTTTGTTTCTTTTCAACACACATATCTATAGTTTTATAATGCTTAATATTAATATAATATAACTTAATCATATTTGATTTAAAAATCAAACTATTATGTTGTATTTTGCAGCTTTATAGTGTTTATTATCTAAAATATTTTACAAAATGTTCTAAAGATATTTACAATAAAAATTATTTTTGATCTTTTGAAAAAAATGCTCATGGCACAATTTAAATTATTATAACTTCTATATATTATTTCATTTATTAATATGAAAGTATATATTTAAATAGTTTGTTGATAAAGATTATAAAATTTTTGAGTTTCTAAAAAATTTACCATAAATAATTGGTAATAAATGAATTCCCAAAGATCAAATATGTGGATTAGTTATATTGATTTACATACAAAATATATACAAATTTCACTAATATATTTATAGTAGCCTTCTCAATTAATATAATGTATAATTTAGGAAATTATTCTAAATATTTTTATAATATCATTATTTTGGGTCTAAGTATCAAATTTTTGATTATATGGATAGAACTAATATTATTATTTAATTTTAATTTTCAGATTGCAGCAGAAATAACTATCTGAAAATACCCTTAAATATAATATATTAAAATATAACTTTGGTTAACAAAAAAAAAATCTTAACTAAATATTTAATACTTTTAGATTCTATTATCATGAATTACAAATTATTTTATTTTCATTTTATTTAAATGAACCTTATTGTTCAATAAAATTGGTTGCAATTTGAATTAAAATAACTTAAACTAACAACTTGAAGAGTTCCTATAGCATCATAAGAAAATCACAAATTGTGAATTAGTATATATATCTAAATTTATGAAGAAAGAGTAGTATTGAAAAAAAAATTTTAGTTGTTAAAATTTGATAAAATTATAACTATTATCAATTTGATTGCTTTTAGCTAAATTAAATTTATTAAATTTATCTAAAGAGTTCATCTCATTATAGTTAAAAAATATAACTAACATACTACATATTTATAGTATCTTTTATTCAGTAATTAAATTACTACAATTTTTTTTCCTTTTTTTAGTTTGCTCCACCAATTTTATCAAAAAATTCTTTTCTTAAAATTTAGGATTTATTTTTTTAAATAAACTTATAAATTTGAATTATATAAAAAAATTTTTATTCTATTGATAAATGAATAAAAATTAATAGAATAATTTTTATAATAGAAAAAGCAATATTAATAAGAATTCAAAAAAGTAAAAGTACTAGCATAATTATTAATGTTAAATTAAAAATAATTAGAAACATTTAAAGAAAGTGAAAAATAAATTCAGAGTGAGATTGAATACTATATATTTTAAGATTTGGAAAATGTGTTATGTCTTTTAGGTTAACTTGAACAAACGATAACTACCTTAGAAGATTAGGATGATAAATCTTACCTTCCAATAGCTACAAATAAAGCGATTTTATCAGCAAATATATCTAATGGGATTCATTATGATTAATATTATTCACATAATAAAAAACATTCAACATTTTTAACAAAATGCAAAGAGAGAGCAAAAAAGATATTTAATGGGGCACTTGAAGCAAAAAACGGAATAAAAAATACAAATCCTAAAATAAAAAAAATATGTGATTTTTATTTGGAAAATTTGAATGCTGAAAATGGTTTTAAATAACTCCCTTTAGAAACAGTAACAAGAAAGGGTGAATTTAACTAAAAAGTTTTGGAAAAGGTTATTTGGGGAACTCAAACTGTTGACAACTAACTGAAAGAAGTGCAAAATCTAACTTATCAAGCTCCAACTCTAGAATAAATTTTGATAAAAATGAAGTAATTAATTTTTATTAAAATTTAGTGAGAAGAAAAAAATTTGTGAAGAATAATTAATTAAAAACTTCAATCTTGTTTAAAAAGAATAAACAACAACTGATGACATAGTTGTAAAAAAGGATAGTTAAGTTATATAAGGGAGTGTTATATCAAATAATCAAGTCGATACAAAGATAAATGAAGATGAAAAGAATAATGAAAATAACATAAAATAAAAAATATTGAATGAGTAAAAACTAACGAAGAAAAAAAAAAACAATAACAATTATCTTATTCAAAGAAAATATCGAAGGAGCAGAAACCGATATACACACATAAACAGAAAGTTTATTCCCAAAGCAAATACCTTAAAATAAACCTTTTTAAATCAGTAGATAAAAAAAAAAGATAAAAAATAAGAATTAACTTTATCTAATCAAAATAACTTAGAAGCTAATCCAGAGACTGATTAAACGAAAAACACAATAAAATGAACAATTAAATTACATTCAATTTATTTTAAATTTATGTTTATTTAATTATTTTATTTACCCCAAAAAGAATTATCTAATTTTAGCAATATTACTTTACCATCGTTTAATTTTTAAATCTCTAAACTTCCCCTTTATAATATATGTTCAGCAGTCACATTTTTTTTTTATGTTTTATTTTTTTTTTAGAGGAGAAAAAATAATATTTATTTGTAAAACTAAATTTTGGGTTTGCTCAAAAGTATTTGCACAGAAGTCTTATGATGCTTGATTTTTTTAAAATAGTGCAGGGTTTGCAGAATATAAGTAAGATGATGAGGTATTTTTTAGTATTTGGCTTTTACTAAATGCACGAGATAAGTACCTACTTACAATTGTAAGGAACATTATAAAAAAAGCTGAATTAATAGACACCTTCCGCAATTAGTTTCTGGTTAGGGTTTGCTAACTGAAAGGTTTGACTCAGAAGATTATTTTCTAACATGATGTTGGTTTTTTAATTTGAATAAAAATTAATGAATATGAATATATTTAGAAAGAGTTTTGGTTTGGAAAAATTACAGTTTATAAGATTGGCGAGTAGCAAAAAAAAAAAGGGGGATTTCCCACGTAAGTGATATTTTGTAAATGTTTTTAAACTTTTAATGATTTTATAATATTTTATAATATTTATAAAATATTTTTAATAATTTTGTATATTTTGGATAATATTTGTATAGCATTATTTTATATTTGTAAAATATTTGTATAATATTTTTAATAATTTTGTATAATATTTGTATAATATTTGTACAATATTTGTATAATTTTTTTGCATATTTTATCTCATATTTGTTAATAATTTTGTATATTTGTAGATTTTTGTTTATTTTGTAAAAATATTTTTAAAATTGTAAAGGATTCGGGTTTGCCCACTAGTAGGGTTTGGGTTTGGGTTTGGGTTTGGGTTTGGGGTTGGGG